CAATTAAACTTAGTGGTAAATATTTTGGATAAAAACCCTGATGTGGGAAAGAGACCATAAGTTGCTTCCAACATCAAGGAAAAAAGATTACCATAGTAAGGTAATTGGTATTTTGATATTTGCAATTGAGAATTTAATAAATGTAAATAATAAAATAATTTTTTCATAATTTAATGCGGATGAAGCCGCACGGGAACAGCTAGTCAAGTAATAAAATCCTATTAACATAAACAAGCTAAAACATGAACCTTATGTTAACCTTCTGTGAATTGAACGTTGTTTATCTATGTTTTAAAAAATATTCCAAATGCCTTAAAACATTTAGATACTTATAAAAGTACCAAAATAAGATACATATAGTCCCAAAGAACTAATCATAGAATTATTTAAAGCACGTTAACGAAATCAAAGTATGAAGTTGTGATAGTAAAGTAAGCGTTCGCTAGGGGGCGCTGTATGTCCATTGAGCCGCAAAGTTCGTGTAATGAACGCGGAAGTCCTGACTGAAAGGGTCTTGTATAATATCAGTAGTGTAGGGTTGCGTGTGTATGATTGACATGAATTTTTAAGAATAGTAATTGTAAGAAATGGAAACAGCAATCGGTGTCTGAAGAGGACTCCTATAAACAAACAATTCGTTGATTGAAGGGATTTTTGTTGTTTTGGTTTTTATACTGGCCCAGACGTTCCCTTGACCCAGTTGCAAGATCCCGCGCTAGGAGCGGAGTCCCCGCCATCACCGCGGCGATGACGATTTTATAAACATAACGAATCTTCAAACAAAACATAATATTTTGTGCACCTCTTAATTGACTCAGGCAAATTCGTGCAAATGAGAACAGATAAGTGAACTCACGGTCACCTCATGTCATCATTTGCTTTGATTAATTTGTGTCATAAATATTAATTAAAGCGAGTTTCATCAATGAAGCAGTGACGCCGCGTTCTTGTGATGTATGTTAACACAACTTAGCTTATATCCTCGCAGCCACTCCGCTATGTGACGCGAATTGACGGTTCCCTTAATTAAAATTCGATTTGGAACTTTAGCTATACAATAACTACTGATGGGAATGTTATTGCGATCCAGTCTGATTTCAAAAACATTTTTATTTTGATCATTTTCTAAACGATAATAACAGAGATGAAACGAGCAATTAAATATTAAAGTTTTTATAAATAAACAGCCGAATTTATTCAGACAATCGTTCGTATATAAATAAATAAATGTTCATGTTGCTTTGTAATTTTTTCAATATTTTAAAATGAAAACATCTCTAGTTTGATGATATTCCATTTTTTTTATTAAATGGAATGTTTTAAAGTTTTCCAAATTACAGCTGGCATTTAAATTATTTTACGCATAATAGTTATTTTACTTTTTAAGGCAACATGTTTATAAATTGCAACTCTCTCACGTCATCCACAAGAATCTGTAGTCGGTTGTTGTCGCTGCGTGCGCTGTTTATCTTTTTTCCGATTCGGAAGCACACTAAGTCCGTTTGTGGAGGCCTGTGGGGTATGCACAGGAGTCTGCGGGGGCTATGCGCGGGGTCAGCGTGGGGTCAGCGTTGGGCGTGTGGATTCAACTCGGATTCAGTTGATGACGAGGATAGAGTTTATTTACGGATAAGAACAAATCAATCTATTTGACGAAGGCTCGATCTAACTAATCGGCCCTCTTCGCTCCCTCTCCGTGCAATGACCGTCAACTTTTTCTAAGCAATTTTCTGCAGGTCGTTGACCTCCGCCGCGTCTTTCGCTCGAATAAACCTAAGGGAAACGACACGGTGGGTGTCGTTGCAAAGAAAATCGCACAAAGAAAGGCTTATAACAGAATGGCAAAACTTGAAACATCTGCTTTTACTTCAATAATAATAAAACGCACTCATAAAATATTAATTTCGTGCTAAGCAATATCAGTTGCGGTAATTATAGCCTCGGATCGAAGTTGAAGACCAGTGACCGTTGACCTCTCCCACACATTAGACAGTTAGCGTACAGAGGTCAACTCGCAGTACGTTTTCGCACAAAGTTATTTATCAAGACGATGTAACGGACTGTCGTTTGCGGCCGACATTTTAATTAACAGTTGATCATTTAATGCGATATCGCTTCTGAACTAAGTTGTGATCGTTGTAATCAATTTTGTATTACGATGTATGTATCTACCAAGAGTATGCGAGAAACTGTACAACATATCAAATGCAATCTGCTTATTGTATTGTTGTTGTGTTATAATTCACTAGCTGTTCGCGTGCGGCTTCTTCCGCATTAAATTAAAAAAAAAGTTTACATTTGTCAAATTGTCAATTGCAAATGTCAAAATAACCGTTACCATAATAACGGTGCTTCCTTGATGTTGGCAGCTTGTAGTTTATGGTCCCGTTCCCACATGAGGATTTTATCCAATTTATTTACCCGCTAAGTTTAATCGTGTGAAAACATACAGCCTAAAGCGTGTCGTAAGTGTAGGGTTTTTTAATTTAAAATATGCTGTGATTGCTGACATCCTACGCCACAAAGTAGTGTGTATTTACGCTTTATTATATTAGTATAGATTTCATAGAATACTGACTTCCTGCGCACTGTCGACTGCAGCAGTCTGTGATAACGCAATATTGTTATAGGAAACTCTGATATAAATGTCAAGTGACTAGTATGCAATATGCAACAATCCAAACACACAAAGTAATTGTGTTTAAAATGTTAAAATAAGTGCACATGAATGTAGGATTTTGTATTCAAATATCTAATTTCAAAGATGGCGTACTTTCTTAACTTATAATTAAAAAAAAAACTTAATTCGTAATAATCAAATACCATAAAAATTCTAATTAGGAAAAAACTTCGCTACTTATAAAATTTACCCTTTCAGGGCCGCGTATACGTACCTCTGGCTACGAGCTACGTGCTACGAACTACCGGCTACGGGCTGCAGGCTACAACTGACTACGTGTATGGTAAATCGAGCAGTAACACTCTGGTCCAGGGCAGGGTGGCATTAACAGTAGAAGGCAGTATGTCTATTTGTTTAAATAAAATAAACAGCTTTGGATGAAACTTTGATAGAAAAAAAAACAAGTGAAGTGTAAATGTTAAAGTTAATAAATAAAAAGTCACGTATTATAGGTAAGACCGTTATTTGAGGTTCTGTGGCCCACTTACCTGTTAGCCGTAGCTCTTAATAAAGTGCCTTGTCACCGAAAAGGATTAAGACGAAGTGGTTCGTTACTGTAAATGGGTCGCCAGTTCTCCAAATGCGGATATCCGACACCGAGGCAATATATTATTTGATATTTGAACGCAAACACGGAGCTACGACAATCAAATGCATCGAGACATTCAAGGAAGTAAATTTGATCTTCTTGAAAATACCAGCAATAGTATCTTCTTTTAAAAATATTTTAAAACAATCATCAATAGAGATTTGATTATGGAATTGAATATATAACGAATGTAAGTAGTTGAGGAGGCGAGCGGCCGCGTGTGATGGTGACGTGGGTCGTGATCGAGGTTTGTTAAAACTTTAACTACTGCGCAGTTCCGACGACCGCACTGATGCTGCCCGCACGGGCCATTTAATATGCCCATTAACAGAAAACCTTTAGAGATTTTCAATTTGCGAAAACCTTAATAGCGAATTCGAATCCATCTGTACAACTATTATATAATAAAGCGTAATCACACACTACTTCGTGGCGTAGGATGTCAGCAATCACAGCATACTTAAACATTTTTTTCTTTAACATAAAGCCCTACACTTATGACACGCTTTAGGCTGTATGTTTTTACACGATTAAACTTAGCGGGTAAATAAATTGGATAAAACCCTTATGTGGGAAAGGGACCATAAGCTAAAAGCTGCCAACTTTAAGGAAGCAAGGTCATTATGGTAACGGTAATGTCATTTGCAATTGAGAATTTGACAAATGTAAACAACGAAATAAAGTTTTTATGATTTGATGCGGATGAAGCCGCGCGGGAACAGCTAGCATGATATATTATAGCTTCATGTTCTGTCAGTATGACCATAATTTTAATATCAATATATTTAATAGATAATGCACCGCAAGTCGAGTTTAGCTAGTTATTATTTTATGAAACGTTCCACATAAAGATAACAGAAAACAAGCAAACTTTAATAACAAAGGACAAAAAGATCGCAACTTTTTAAGAACAAAAGCTCGAATGAATGTAATTGTTTCGGAAGAGATTCTCGAGTTTCCAGCCTTCGTGTAATTTGAAGCTTTATGTTAATTAATTTGATATCAAACATTACGGGAATTTTTCGTATTATCAGCACCTCCAAGTAAAACTCCGCCGCACTTTGTGACGGATTTAGATTAATTATTATATTTGTGAAAACAAACAGATGTTACGAAAAGTTTATGAATAATTGTGGGTTTTGGATACTCGTGAAATTAAAATTTAAGTAAATACATATTTATCAGAACCACTGTCGCTATTGAATACTGAATGTAACATTGAAACACTTGTAGTTAGTATAAAAACCAACTGTAGAGTAATTGTTTTCGATCAACTTAAAGTCATCGCGCCAGTTCCTTGTTATCAAAATACGTTCGTTAGGGCGCAGGATCAAGTGGCGTTAATTACAATATCAAATATCTGTGACGTCATCGACAGCCATCGTCCTCACATACAACTGAACATTAACACAACTCTAATGAAACGAAAAGGTTTATGTCAAAACCAGTATTATGTGAAAACGTTTTATTTTACCTCTAAATGTATTTTTAACTATAAAAACACGTCAGTGCTGAGATTAATAGCCAATTCTATCCATTAATTACATTGAATAGTATATCAAATACGAATATTCCTAAATGCGCTTCGCTACGCAAAATTTTACTTACTGCGATATAGATAAATATGTAATAGTATACAATATCTACTTATGAAACAAGTACTCTGTCTAGGCCTTCTACTGGGACTAGACCAGACCAGAGCGGAGCAGAAGTCTCGCGCGCGGCCGGTTTCAGTCAGTGTGGGGTAGCCAGCCGCCGCGCGCGTCTTCACTACAGTACCATAACGAAAGCTTCTTGCGGAGCTTACGCGAAAGTTTTAAAGTGATATCAAGTAATTAAAAACATCTTGTTTATTTTCTTAATGAATGAGTGTTAAATAAAGACGTTACTAAGCAATATTGGTAAGAGATTTTATACTTTTATTTATTCTGTAAGATCTTTTAGCGAAAATCTTAATAGTTCTTTAACAAAAGATATCATTAATTGACTTTAGGTTTTGTAAGAGAAATTAATTTACGGTTTGAGAAAAGTTTGAATGTTTTTGCGAAGTAAGAAACACGTATTGTAGACAATTTTACAATAATAATGCTAAAAAATAATATAAATTTTATACAATTTAAAAATCAATGACGGATTCTTGAAATTCGCTCTAAAAATGTAAAACGGAGGTAATTTATATTGTGGAACTTTGACGGCGCAGTTGTTAAGCAACTGACTGGACCGGACCGTTTGTAACTGTCAGGTTCAATCCGCAATGTGATTTTCAAGTTTCATGCGTACATTTATCCTACCTTCTTACGGCGAAAATTTCGTTGCTACACATATCTGCGAAGACATTCAAAGCTGAAATTGAAAACCCCGCTCGGGGGCAGTGTGGATGACTATGGCCAAGAGCTAACTTGGATCTGCTCTGAGTAAAAAATAAGATTGCTTTCTAAGCCATTACACAGTAACTAAATGTAGTTTTTCGATTACAATTGCGATATCGGTTTGATTTAAACCAAC